GGGGGGGGATGTCTACGTAAGAGCCGCTACCTGGGTCCATGAATAGTTTCACAGAAACCCTTTTATGCTCCACAGAGTGCTCTGTAGACCTTTCGCTTGTATCCTGCAAGTATTTCGAAGTGCTGCTTTGTCAGTGGCATAATCCCATTCAGCACTGCTCTTTACGACGCTTGTGTACTCGTGGAGTAGGGGCCATCGACGTAGATGCTTTCTCTATTTGACAAAAATACTCCCAGCCCTCTCATTGCCTTAGTAAACCGCGATTTAGCCTCAATTTAATAGATTTTCTCCCAAACTGTGGTTAATTGGGAGAAGAACTGCGAGGAATTTGCCCATAATCGCTGTCATTGATCTGTCGGTGGACGTGATTCATTAGGCTCAGAAAAAAAACACTCATTAAACATTCACTTTCAAAGCTGACCCCAGTTTTCTACTCACAGTAAGTCGTTCTTGGTGCGCAATAAAACGCATCACTGAATTACGTCAAAAGGTCAGTTGCACATTGTTTTTATGTCAATAATCAAAGCCAGAACCACTGCCCTTGTTCACTGGTATCATTAAGCACTCCAGGGCAATTCGTGTGGCGAAAATGCACTGAGAGTATTTCTAAGCGCTTTAGGTGCGTTTTTTCTGAACACCCAAATTACACCCACTAGGTATAAGATTGATTACTTAAGCCGCCCGCTTTATTAAGTATTGTAGGCTCACAGACTCAGACTTCATTATAAGTATTGGCTTGCCGCAAACGGAAGGGGCCAAAAGTCTTATGTGCTCTTCGTGCACGTTTAGTTGGCGAGAGATCCACCGACAGTCTTTTAATTTTCCTTACGAATGCAAATGCTGACCGTATACAATGCAGCTTTTCTTGATAATAATATTGACTGGCCTAGTTATCTAGCCTCTTTTTTACCAGCGGGAATCCTCCTGGCAGCAGTATGTCAAACAATTCGCCAAACTTGGACCGTGCCCGATCTGCGGGGACAAGATTTCTGGCTATCACTACGGCATCTTTTGTTGTGAATCCTGCAAGGGTTTCTTCAAACGCACTGTTCAGAATGCCAAACGCTACGCCTGTCACATGGCCACACCTTCTTCGCTCTGCGAGATTACGGCCGCCTCGAGGAAAAAGTGTCCGGCTTGTCGCTTCGTCAAATGTCTAGAGAAGGGAATGCGGATGGAAGGTTAGTTTTAGGCAGTTTGTTTTACAATATTTGCTACTTATGTTTGTCAAGTAACCACAGGTGTGGTGCTAAATTCTCCGACACCTTGTTTTTAGCCATTCGGTCTGACAGAACTCGTGGTGGACGCAGCATGTATCCCGGTTCGCGATATCTGCGACAGCTGGCTGCCCGAGCTTCGGGTACACCAGGAGACAGAAAGCCAAC